GGGGAAGCAGTGGTGGCGCCACAAGGAGCCCACGAGCCACTCACGGAGCCAGGGATCGATCAGAGTGGCTCCTGCACTTCGCCCCTTCTTCTTGTTGCTTAGAGTGGCCTTTGGGGGAGGGAAGTGCGAGCCTGGTGCTGTGTGGCCTCCCCCGTCTTTGCTGGAAGCGGCGCAGGTGGCTGGAAGCCCGGCTGAGCCGCTGAGGCTTGTATTTGGCCGTAAAACTTGTGTGAAAAGTTCTGGTGGCCATTTTGGATTGCCGCCATGTGCGTGAGGAGCGCGCTTAGCCCTGCAACTGCTCAGGCCTATTCCCCTACAAAAGCCAGCAGGCCTAGGTCCCGGCGGGCCTAAAGAGCCTGGGAACCCTCGTGCAAGCGTTGGAACTGTGAGTAGGCTATGCACGAGGGTGTTGAGATTCCCCAGGGTCAGGTGGTGGACCCGATCCAGGGAGCAGAAGGCATTGTACAGGGAGTGGACCAAGGGATTTCCCCCACCCCTGGGTTCTTTGGCTGCCTAGTGCCCTTCTAGGTCGTCTACCAGGGAGGAAGCCAGAGGGCACAGGGCAATTGAAAAAACATTTGCCAGAGCAGAGAGGCAGGCCAAATCAGCTGGGCCCTCATCTCGGGACAGGTCCCGATCCCCTCTTGGGCCTCCTTCTACCCGGTCTTCCCCTAGAGGGTTTAGCCCCTCTTCTCCTTCAGTCTCTCCTGACAGGCCTCTTGCCTATTCTAGAAGGAGGGGCTCTCCCTCCCCTCCCCCCTCGGGTGATCCTTTGGGGGGCACGTCTAGGGAACCCTGTCCTTCGCACAGGTTGGCTCCCCAGAGGCCTAGTTTGGCCTATGGTGATGTGGAGGATTTGGATTAGCTCCCTGAAGGTCTTAAAAGGCTTATTTCTGCTACCATTTCGCGGGGCATTGCCCAGCGGGATAAGGGTTCTTTCTCTTCCAGCCATGGGGGTCTAGGCCAGGCCCAGTATCCTCTCCTTCCATGGTTAGCGAAGCTTCGTTCATGGGGGAGGAGAATCTCCAGGACATGGGTTTCTCGGATGATGAGAATGCGTGCCCCTCAGATGAGCCCTCTTCTGCAGGCCTCTTTGTCCCAGCCATGTTCAAGATTCTCTTGAGCAAGGCAAGGAAGACCACCAGGATCCTTCGGTGCCCCCGCCTAGGGATCCTGACATGGCTATGTTTTCTGCCACAGCCACGAACAAGGAGGAGATTCCGGCCCTCCCCTGTTTATGGAGGTCTTATCCAACCAGTGGGCTTGCCCCTCCAATTTCTCGATTCCTGGGAGTAATGACCGCCGGCACTATAATGTGGAACAAACCTTTGCTCAGGCCATTCAGTTGCCGGCCATTGACACCCCAGTGGCAGCCCTGGTGTCTTCCTCTCCGGTGGTATCAGGCGATGCGGCAGATAAATTGAAACCGGAGGATAAGCACGATGAGCTTATCTTAAGAAATTTTTTTAATGCCACTGCATGGGCTATCAAGTCCGCGGCCTCAGCCTCTTATTTCAACTGCGCCACAGTCATGTGGCTTAAGCAGCTCCAGGAGCGCATTCCCATCCAGGACAAGCGCCTGCACCAGGATCTCATCAAGATCATGGTGGCCTCCTAGTTTTCCACTGATGCGACCCTGGACACGGTTAAGTTTGTGTCCAGTGCCTTGGCCACTTCAGTCACATCTCGCAGGCTCTTATGGCTGTGCCACTAGTAGATGGATAACAAGGCCAAGTGGAATTTGGCAGCTGCTCCGTTCAAGGGGCCTAATCTTTTTGGGGAGGCCCTCGACCCCATTCTGGTCAAGAATAAGGATAAAAAGAAAGTTCTGCCATCTAACGCTAAGAAGCCCGAGGCTAGGTCTCATCTGCAACAATATAGGACTGCAGATTATGACTATAAGCAGCGGTTTTTCTTTCCGCTCTAACAGGCAGTTTCCCAGGTCGTCCTTTCAGGACAGAAACTGTTTCCAGCACCAGTCCAGACGGCCCTTTCGTGGAGGAGGAGGCCGTCCCTTCCGCAGGGGGAAGTGACTTGAACCCGAGTCATCCCATCGATGGCCGCCTTTCCCTCTATGCAGATCAATGGGACGAGATCATGTCAGACACTTGGGTCCAAGCCACGTTCATCACGGTCTCAGGTTAGAATTTATCTCCACCCCCGCGAATTTCTTCAGGGCATTCCCTCCGTCCCGGAGCCTGGAGCACCACCGCCTGATGGATCAGGCCATCGTCCACCTTCTCAACATCCAGGCAGTGGAGGCAGTTCCTCTAGAGGAATGGGCCCTGGGCCACTACTCCAACCTGTTTGTGGTTCCGAAGAGCTCGGGGGGCTGGAGGGCAATTCTGGACCTCAAACGCCTGAACCGTTTTCTGGTGTACACACGATTCAAAGTGTCCTCCCTCAAATCTATCCTTCAGGACATCAGAAAGGGGGACTTCTTGGCTTCAGTGGATCTCACAGAGGCCTATCTTCACATCCCAATTCTGGCTGGTCATCGCAGGTTCTTGAGGTTCTCACTACCAATACAGGGCTCTTCTCTTCGGGCTGGCCTCGGCTCCCCGGGC